GACATGATCCTGAACAACATTCAAGAGATTTTAGCCGTCGGTCGGACAACTTGCGTAATGCTAATGCCAGCTGTACTGTAACTTTCGAGCCTTATAACTCGAAAAATACTTAATGAAAAAATATTTTATTATAGTGTTTTGGAAAGCTCTCGAGGTAAGCTACAAGAATATGTGATGAAAAATAGTGGGTTTAATTTAAGAAATTGAAGGTGACCTTCATGTGACCTTTAAGCGACTGTCTAAAGTCAAACTAATGGTACCATTTTATGGGCACCTTGAAACCATATAACTTTTGTCTGAAACATTTTCTTGTAAAATGCAAGGGAATGGAAATATTTGGAGTGATAGATTAAAATTGGTCACCCTGTATATATATTATATATATATAATAGTTGATAAAGTACTAAATCGCGTACTTTGAATCACGTTGCGGAATCTTTCATTATCTTCTGTTTGCTAATATAAACTTAATTATTTAAAATTTTCTGTTTTTAAACTTAAAAAGAACATATTCTAAATGTAATACAAGTAAATAGTTTGATTAGCAGATTTAATAACTTTAACTTTAATATACCATAAAATAATAATAAATTACGTTCGTATAAATCAATAAGCAATAGAGGAAAATACAGAGACGGTAAAAAATCGAGCAATTTAAAGAAGTTAAACAAGACCTTTGTTATATAAATAATAATGGATACGATTCGTTTAATTCTTATTAAACGAATTTTTTATTAATTTTAATCTTACAAAGATCAACCATACTCAAACCTGATGAGAATTTCTTAGTACTTTATTCCTTCTTAGTACCTTATTCAGGATTACCTTACGTCAACCAAACCAGGTCCTTATAACATATAAGGTTAACCCGACCAGAATTCTAGTCGGGTAGCCGTATCACAAGGCAAAGATATCGCAAGTCACGGATTCGCTCTAACTTGATAATACAGAGCGAATTGAGCATCAATTCTTGGATCCTCGAGTAGTTATATGTTTAGCGTGATCGATTCGTGTTCCGTGGTTCCGAGTTTGATCCTATTCGCGCCCCACACACACACACATATATGGTTTTTTTTTCGTAGAATATGTGTATACTTTATTTACTCTATCTTCTTGGATCAATAAACTTACACGGATTGCAGTCCGATCTTGTGAGATTAAATATCTACCTTTGCTACCTGTAGGCGCAGAGAGGGTCCCAGATGCGTACAAAATAGATCAGACCCATTAGGATGTCAATTGGACACAGTCCCAATCGAAAACGGATAAATTATGTTTATGAGGTACCCTTTAATAACATTTATAATTATGAAACTGTCAATCAGTCATTTCATTCTTCAGAAGAATAATTATGATTGATTAGTTTCACTACTGCGGTTCAACTACGTGGTGCGGATGTTATTAAACCCGATTAAGGGTACTGTGTAAACGTAGTTACAGATTGAAACGGACACATGATAGGCTCAATCGACCACAGTTCAATCAGACATATGTTAAAATAGGCACATGAGTCATAGTCCTAATAAGGTACAAGTTGAGAAGGACGTGATGATGATGAAGGTCCTAATCAAATTGAGTAAATGTTTATTTCATCCCACTCTTCTGCAATATCAGTAAAATTAGATTTATTTAACACGTTTTTACACGAATGCGCATATAGTTTATTAAATTAAATCTTCGCTTTATATTAAATATGAATGATCCTCTATACGAAATAAATAATATACTAAAAGTAATAGATACAAGGTAGGACTAATAGGACGTACCATGTTTTAGAAGTAAAGCCATAGTTTTTGTTGCTGCTAATAATTAATATATTTATTCATATTCTTTTTCTAATTACAACACTCTTTTTAATATCTAATTCCTCAGTGTTTTTCTCAATTAAAAGTTATTAATATACGAGGGGCACTACTTATATTTTGAGCCTTGGCAACACTGAATGTTGTCAGGTGCCATCTGACGTTTCCACTAGAAAGTTTGACATTTTTTACCATAACCTTCTTCAGAACGTTTTGTTATTTGAGCGCGATTTATATTGTTTACAGTCACTTGAAAATTGTGTCTCAGCGAAAAAATGGAATTAATTCGTGAAAATTTTCGTGCAATGATTTA